ACCTTACATTTTTACTTCATAAACAACCTTTTAAATTTTTGACTCTTTAAAAACACAAACACATTGTACAGCTGTACAAAAATTTTTTATAGCCTTATTCTATACACTTTTTTCTATTTTTTTTTTTAACTTTCTAGACATTTTTGTTAAAAGCTAAGACACAAATACACATCAACCTAGGCCTACCAGGGTCAGGATCATCAGGATGTCTGCCTTCCACCCCCACATCTTATGGCATTGTCATCTTCTATAATAACAATCCCTTCTTCTGGAATACTTCCCAAAAGACCTACCCCAGTCTGTTTTAAAGTTAACTTCTTTTTATAAGTAGAAGCAGTACATTTAAAAATAACAATTAAAAGTTTATTATAGCAATTATAGAAACCAGCAACGTAGTTATTTGTTATCATTATCAAGCATTATGTATCATATTTAATAGTATGTGCTATACTTTTAAAGGACTGGCAGCATAATAGGTTGGTTTACACCAGCATGACCACAAACAGGTGAGTAATATGCTGTGCTATGATATTTCCATGGCTAAGACATCACTAGTTAACAGGAGTTTTTCAGCTCCATTACAATCTTATGGACCCACTGTCACATATGCAGTTCATCCTTGACTGCATCATTACGGGGTACATGATTGTACTTTTCTTCTTTATCTCTAATACATTAATCCCCTTTTCTTCAAAAGAAGTCATTATTTACTATTATCTGTGTTTGCTTTAAATACCGATCTCCCTATTGTCCGCAGGGACATGAATCAGGATTGTTGGCCCCAGGTTCCTTCCTGAAACCCTTCCCCTGATTGGAGCCCTTTGTGGACACCAGCCAATGCCCCACCAATATCCCAGAGAGCTGTCACTTACACACCAAGTTTCTTCAACACAGTTGGGTAAAGGCCATCTAATCTTGGTGATTTATCTATATCAAGTATGTTGATTAGGTCTGGAATATCCTGAGCACTTGCCACTTCTTGATCTATTACCTCTAATGTGTGTTTGCTTGAGAAGTCCTGGGTGTAGGAATATTACTCAGCAGAAACAGAAGCAAAGAATTCATTTACACTCTGCTTTATCTCTTTTTATCTCCCAGTACATGTGTGGAATGACAAAAGCCAAGTGCTTCCACAATCTTCCTTTCACAGTGTTTAAGGGTCTTTCATTATTGTTTTGGAAATCCTTTGTAGTTTTTTTTTTCAAATTCATTTTCAGCTACCTCATTTCTACAGTGCCTGGGATCTGTCGCCCTTCATAGGCTCCATTTAATAACCTGATCCTTCAAATTTTCCTTTTCCATTAAGCATATCTAATATTTTTTTCTTTTCTTTACTTCTTCTGTATGCATTTGGTGTTTTACAGAGCATGGGTACAGACCTTTATTTTTCTTACAACATTTGGGTTATTATAAGACAATTCATATACCTCCCCCCCCCACTTTATCATGGCTAGAGTTTTAAAATATTTCTTTTCATTTTTTTTTTCTGTAACATATAAGCATCGAATTCCCTTTTAGAGACTGATTATGCACTTGGATGTCTTTCTTTGGAGTCCTCTCTCCTGTTAGAATATATAATTGAACTGAAATATATTCACTGCTGCTGCAACCTGTGTTCTGTCTGGTAGGTACTCACTGAACAAAACTGAAAGAATGTATGATACCAACAGCTAACAATCACAGAGCATTTCCTAGGTGCCATGTCTCATGCTAAGCACTTAATATGTATTATGTCATGAGATGTCAGGCACTAGAAGGTGAACTTCATTGGCGAGTTTGCCCATGCATATCCCTAGCATCTAGAACAGAGCTGGAACATACTAAGCAATCACTAAATATTTGTTGTGTGAATAAGTTGAAAAACTGCATGAGGTAAGTACATTACTCATGCTTTACATATAAGGAAACTGAAACACAGAGCGGCTCAATCATTTTCTGAAGACCCACAGTTAATTTTGTGTGGTGACAGAATCTGAACCCAAAGCCCACAGACGTAACCAACACTTATTACTGGTAAAGTCAACACCTACTCACATTAATGTAAACAAAATTAATCCCATTCATCTTAATAAATATTATGCAGTGTTACAAGCAAACATTATAGGCCTTAATTTTTCAAGAAGAGATTTGCAAATGATGGGTCTTTAAAAATAATCAGATAGGCAGATATCTATATGCTTCTTTTTGCTAACTTTGGAAATAAAACTATGATTTCTCTTTAACCAACATCTTCTGCTGCATTTGTATACATACTAGTTAATGAGATATCCAGACTTTTGGTAAGTGGGTATTTTTTCTTCCCCAAAGTGTTTCTGGTTTTATTTAACACATCTGTTTTATCAATTCTTTTAAAAATAAGAATAGCACCAGGCCAGTGGCTCAGCCTGTAATCCCGCGCCTTTGGGAGGCTGAGGTGAGTGGATTGCCTGAGCCCGCGGGTTCGAGACCTGCCTGGGCAGGCGAGACCTCATCTCTACAATAAATCAAAAAATTAGCCAGGCATGGTAGCGCGCACCTGTAGTTCCAGCTACTTGGAAGGCTGAGGCGGAAGGATTGCCGGAGCCCAGCAGGTCAAGGCTGGGCACTCCAGTCTGGGCAACAGTGAGACTCCAACTCAAAAAAAAAAAAAAAAAAGAATAGCACTGATGAAATAATCACTTATTAAGTCTTCATTGTTAATTGTCTATAAAGATTAGAAGGTTTTGCTTATAATATGGGAGATTTGCATATCTCTCAAACATCTCTCCTACTATTAGTTACTTGGCTTTTCTGAAACACTACCATTAGGACATCATTCTTTAGGGTTTTGATTACTTGTGACTTTAACAACTCATTAACAACAACAAAAATGTATCTCTTTGAAAAGGGTAATTATTTAAAACCATTATGAGTTTTCTCCTTAAACCTTTATCAGTTCCTAAATCCCACACCTTAGTGGGAGCTAACTGGTATTTAGAAGACAGCAAAGCCTTTTGGGAATGGTTTATAATGATCCCTCAAACTATGGCCTGAATAGGAAAAGAGGTACAGAAATTAGAAGTAGGTAAACATCTAGGAAGGAAGGACCAAGGAGCAGGGGAGGGAAGAATTTGAAAAACACTTGACTTTGAACTCTGCTATTCCCCTTGGAAAAGTCAATCTCTGAGAGCCTCAGTTGTTCCATTGGTAAAATGGAGATGATAAAATATGACTTCCTTACACACACTATAATGGAGGATTTCAGTGTGCCATGTAAAACTCTATACTATGACACAGTACACAACAGTGTTTTTTACTTGGCATTATTTGCCTAGAATCAGGTACAATTATGCATCATGTACTATAAACATTCATCTTACAAAGACTGTCAACAGCTTCAAAATGTAGCCCCATAAATTGTGTCTACCATTTTTGATCTGGAAGTTTCTGGTATTTTTAACTCAAGGAACCAACTAACAATTTTTAACAAGATTTGTGTGCCTACAAGCTCAGAAAGCTTACTGTGTGCTCTCAGGACTAGAGTTCTATAAACCTCTGTTTAAACAAGGAAGCCTCTTTTAAGTCCTGTTTCAGTCTGGTGCCTTTGGTCGGGGTGGAAACTAAAATTGAAAACAGATAGATGTTTTACATTTAAATGGGTTTAACATAAATGTGCTTTAAGCCATTTCATGGACGGTTGCACAAATATCTTTTGCAAACTTGGTACACGTGAGCACATATACAGTAACCATTAATGTCTTCTAGAGAAATAAGGTGCAGATCCAAAATTTTAAACAGCTACCTCAAGTTCCTCTCACTCTAAAGAAAATGTAATGACTTTAAGGGAATTGCTCTAATAATATCATGGCATCTGCAATGACTGGCCAGAGCAGAGCAGAACAGAGTGTATGTCACCACAAGTCAATTTAACAAGAAATAAGCTTCCCCCTGGAGAATCTAAACTCCCTTGCCTCCCACAAAGAAAATTGAATTTTGGAGGTCACACCTTGGGTAGGTTACCAAAGGGAGAAGCTTACTATTCTTTTTGTCCTATGCTCTGGGAGGTCAATGCTGTTCTACCACGAGTTCGCTACCAAAGACCCTCTTCCACCTTCCCCCCACTCCCCATTATAACAAGTCTTTGGCGTCCTCTAGGAAATGGCATGTGATAGTGACACTAAAGATGCTAGGGACCATGCCGGATACAATCATGTTCAAACATCAAGTTTTGGACCGTGCAGTGAGAAGGTGCAGGAGGGACGATACTGCGGGAGGGAGTGGGGGGAGGTGAGGAGGGAGGTGGTGAGAGACTGTGGTAGGGGACAGAGCGAGTCAGACCCACAGAGAGCGAGCTTTACGTGGAAACGGACTGCTTAGCCAAACGTGAATCAACCGAACTGCTATCACCAGAGGGAAAAACAGGTCGCCAAGTGAAGCCCAGGCGAAGTCCGGACTCCACAGATGGACCGCCCCCTCCCGGGTCGTCAAGCTGGGGACTGGAGGGCCTAACGCGGTCTCGAAGCGGCGGGGAGGTGACCCAGCGCAGAGGACCTCCCGCAGCGGCTCCGGGTGGGCGCAGTCTGGCCACCGCCCCCTTCCCCCGCCCGGTAGCAACATGTGGGGTGCAGCCACTCCGCCGCCCGGGAACTCCCTCCAGCTGGAGTTCCTGGTGGACGCACGCGTGGCCCTGGGAACGAGCTAAATTACTCCCGGGGAAGGTTCCCTCCAGCCTTGAACTTGGCCGCTCCTGACATTTCCATCCCACCCTCCGCGCGCCAGCACAGCACACACGCACACACACACGCCCCTCTGGACCTGCCCAGGCTGTGTGCGGTGTTCTCTACGCACTCGGGGGCAACACGCCGGAGCAAGATGCAGAGGCCGGGACTCTGCCCCTCTGGCCCCGGGGGGCTGTCCTAGCAGCGGGTAGTTCTGGCTACTCAGCCCAGCCCCCGGCTTGGCCCAGGCCCCGCATTCGCCGGGGCCGCTGGCATCAGCCCCATCTTCTTTTGTGCTCTCCCGGGAAGCCCGCCTCTACTCACCCGGGCTGCGCGCGGATTCCGCTGCCCCATCCCACGAACACTGCGGCGCCCCCCGAGTGTGCAATGCGGAGCCCCGCCAGCGCGCAGCCGGAGCCCGGGAGCGTAGGGAGGGAGCTGGGAGGAGGGAGGGAGCGCGGCGGGGAGGG